GATTTTCATATGGCACTGTACAATAATCCACAACTGACGATCCTTTGGTTGATACGCTTGTGAAATCGTTATGAATATACGACCATTAGGTAGACATAGGCTAGCATTCGCTAGAAAATCGTTGAAAATTTGACGGTGTTATCCACCATATTACGCTTAATAAGATTATCTATTCCAGTAATGAAATCCTCCATATCACCAATTCGGTTATCAAAATCGCCGCATATATAAAATAATTTTCCATTCGGTATTGTGTAAATTTGTTCAATTAAGACCTCGAGGAAATTATGCGCATTAACTGAACGGGCTGAAAATTCTGGTGGTAAATATATCACACAAGTATGAACACAATAAGATAATTGTTTTATATCTGCAAATTTAATCCATAAAATTCCTTCTTCTGAATCATCTTCCATAGTGACTTTAAATGTAGATAACAAATCTTTTCGGACCAAAAACCCAACTCCTTCAGATCCTGTTCTAGCACGGAAATGTATATGCTATCTATTATTGCCAAACCATTCATAATTGTTAACTCGAATTGCATCATTCATTAAATGTGGTTCGGCGATTCCGATTATATGCAAATTTAGCTCACTGATGCAAGAGTCTAATGTTGCAATTTAATCACTGTTTTGATTGCGACTAATTAAAATATCAAATAAATCTCTGATTTTGTTATGCTCATATTACAACGACAAAGCGAGTTCCGATAGATCCGAATTTTAATCAGATTGCACAGATTTATTATTGTGTGCTGAACGGATGGCATATGTCACATGACGTTTGCGTCGAACCAAAATGGGAAACTCTCATTGAAAAAATTGACAACTTGAAATAAAGCGGAATTGCTTTTTGTTAAAATTTGAATGTCACTTGCTTTCATTTCGTATAAATTGAAAAAAAAACAGTATTCAATTCTTACAGATGCTGAAAATAAAAATATACATTATATGAAACTGAAAGCAATACTGAAGTTTGCATAATGAAGATATTGATTTATAAGTAGATAGTTCATAAAAATATTTTGAAATTATCAATAATTATTATACATGTACATCATAGGGAAATAATGTTTTGTTACATTTTCCTGTAAGAATATTCATATCAACAATATATAATGTCGCAATCACTGTAACATCGAAATAAACTGAAGAGTTGTGAAAAATACATGTATTAACATGGACAAAACGCTCAACCCTCCTATAGCCTGGAACAGAGGGAGGTGTAACAGGACAACATAAGGACAAACTAAAATTCAGTTGGAAATGGCTACACTCATCAGATCGGTACGAAGCATGACACAAGATTAACATAAATTCTAAAGACACAAAGTATCGATCTAAGAGAGAAAACTCACAGTTACTGTGTAGTTCAAAGCCAATAACAACTTATAAATAAATCATGTTCTACCTATCTATCAATCAGTGCACATCCAATGGACTTAGTTAAAGACGTCATAAACAGTCTGAGAAAAGCATGACCTTGTGCTATGTCAAAATATAAGTACATAATATCGACAGGATGTAGGACTATAAGTTTTCATAAATGTACAGCAATAAATATCTAGTTATGTTTAAATTTGTCAAAACCAAAATATATGTAAGTACTGATAAAACAATATTCAAAGCTCTTACTACGGTGTTTAATTGATATCCTTTATGAACAGGTTCATTTAAAGGATCATAGAATTTACATGGATCGTATCTAAATTTATGGAATACCCTACTAAATTATTTGTTAGTTATACATAAATAATGTTTATAGAAATCTTAAACGTCCGAAAAGGGGAAACTAACATTAAGGAACGATGCTCGTCTCTTTTGTCGGTAATTTTGGTTTTGTTTTTCCCTTGTAAAACTGAAATATCCTATTCTATAAAAGGACTATTATTGTTGTTGATATTAGATCATATCGTAGTGAGTTCCATTATGGTAAATTTCCGCATTATAATTAGATAATCCTTAATTATTTAAAGCAAAATTATTATCAAGATAACGATACGTGTAATTACATTTATAACTTAAATGAAATTTAGATGAATCTTTATTGAGTTTGGCAATAAAATGGGATTTATAACAACACAGGAAGAAATCTTCTATAAAAGGGGCAGAATTGTTGCCCAAAGGAATACCTTAAGCCTGTCGATACACTTTAAACGTACATTAATGTTAATTAAAGGATAAAATCTACAGCTTTAATTGTCTCATATAAAAATAAAGAGATGTGGTATGATTGCCAATAAGACAACTATCCACCAAAGTTCAAATGAAGTGGATGTAAGCAATTATAGGCAACCGTACGGCCTTCAATAATGAAAAAAACCCATACCGTATGGTCGGCTATAAAAGGCCCCGACATGAAAAATATGAAATAATTTAATTGAGAAAACTAACGGCCTAATTTATAACAAAACAGTTTACGAAAAAAAATATATGACAGACATGAACCAACGACAACCACTGAACTACAGGCTCCTGACTTGGGGACAGGCACATAAAGAATGTGGCGGGGTAAAACATATCTATGAGCGCTCAACCCTCCCCTAACCTGGGACAGTGGTGTCACAGAACAACATAAGAACACTCTTTAAAAATCAGTTGAAAAAGGCTTAACTCACCAGATGGATACAAATAGACAATTTCAGTTAGTATATCTAGTATGTTCACCTTTTGCAATTACAGAAGAAAGCTGTAAATGAGTTGCAGCAAATAAATCTGCAAGCAACTGTTTCAAAGGACCATTTCATCAAATAAAAAAAATCTGTTTGATGAGATTGTGTGAACGTGTAGTGTAGTGTGTCAAAAAGTCACCACAAGTACGTTATTTTCATTAATTTCATATGCTTTTTTACAAACACTTTAATGACAATTTCTTTAATTTTAGTAAGGGAACCAGTGTAAAGCAGAGCAAGATTTGTCTTAGACTTCGTACTAGAAGCTGAGATGAAACTATAATATATGACGGCTTTTTTTAAAAGTAGTTTAGGCAACACGTTACTGATTTTGCTGACACATCCTTCTTTATATGATGCATCAAATATCGAAAGTTTTTGGAACAAAGACAGTGTTGAATACTTTGACAATGAATAAATCATTTAATACTTTGAGCTTACTTTCACTGACTGTCAGCATTATCTGAAACGGTATTGTTTTATTTTTATTGTTAAAAAGTAAAATAACAAAAATACCGAACTCCAAGGAAAATTCAAAACGGAAAGTCCTTTATCGAATGACAAAATCAAATGCTCAAACACATCTAACGAATGGAAAACAGCTGTCATATTCCTGTTTTGGTACAGGCATTGCCTTATGTAAAAATTGGTGGATAATTTGTGTTATACGATAATATTGAATTAAGAAGTTTTTGTCTGATTTTTCTCAGGTATAATGGCAACTTGATTGTTTCAAAGGTTGAAATAATTCATCGCTCAGTTTGTAATTTAAATATTTTTAGCTTACTTTATGTTGTTATGGCTGCCAACATTCTCTGATTCGATATTGTTTTACTCTTTTTGTGAGTCGCTCTTTCGTAATAACAATAATATTTTACGTTCAGTTATGATTTATTACTTGTTCTTCCATACGTTTGTCTATTCAGATTTTACTTGTTCTTATCTGTTTTAATTTGTTTTTATTTGTCAAGGTTTGGGCATATTTCAAGCTTGTAAACGACGATGATGGATGGATGGCTGTTAAACATCCATTTGCAAATCAAATGCATATTCAGGACGGGAACATTATAATGTAATATGAATATAACCTTTGCTTTGTACTAGACCGACACACTGAGTCGGAATTTAATGTGCTAGTTCACAAGGTAACAACAGTCAGCAGGAAGACATGTCACCCTACCCGAATTAATTTTTCTCTCCGGACCGACCAATCATTGATGATACTCCTAAATGCCGCGTGCTTAGCAGAGAAGCAGCAAATACCTGTAGCATCCTCTTATTCACATAATAAAGGGATTACTATTGTAGCCAATTCAAAACATTTACTTGTTATTGCAAAAATGACACGTAACATGACACTATAGATTTTCTTTTATAACAACTGCTTTCTAGTAATGAATGACAGGCTCGTTTAAATATTTACTTATTCATTGTATAGAAGTAGTTTAAAAAAAAAACAATTCTGCAATTTTCAGATATTGGAAAATAGATAACTGAAATTCTTATCTTTTATTTTTATTAAATGTTATTTATAAATCACAGAAATACAGACAAAGGAATTATGGGGGTATACGTCAACAACTCTAATGTACAATGAAACCAGAGGAGACTTCAGTAAGTCAGAATATGATCTACAACAATAGAACAATAGGTCAGTGTCTAAGTGTCTAAGTGTCTAAATATAAACGATATGAAATCCTCTTAGATCCTCGGTCTTGCCAACAGAGAGAGAGAGAGAGAGAGAGAGAGAGAGAGAGAGAGAGAGAGAGAGAGAGAGAGAGAGAGAGAGAGAGAGGGAGGGGGGACAAAAGGGACAAAAGACGGTATTGTCGGCGGATGAAGAGCTGTTTTATATCCAGTGGAGTATATGACGTATACCCCCATAATTCCTTTGTCTGTAATCTTTTAACCATATTCAGGATCATACCCTGTTAATCTAATATGGACATGGACATTGCCTTTTATTGTAGTTCCATTTTAAAAGGTGTCATTCCCCTGGAATTCAGACCGATCTGCCCATCTGAACACATTTTTTTTTATTTCAAGTCGACTGGTCTTTGCTATTTCCCTTTACATTCTTGTGCCTTGTGGTCAAGCAGCAAAGACCAAATTATATATATTTAGTTTTACTCTCCTCGACACTCGAATGACACAAAGGCAGATTCGTTAAATCGCATTTTACAAAGATAGATATTCATATCAATTAACTCATTGTATTAGATAATACATGTTGATCCTTATAATAATAATCAAGAATAAAATTATCATACAACTACTTAAAGGGTGTTGCATTAAGTTTGATGTTCAGTATATATCAACCTAGATTTACCTATTACTGACCTTCAGTATTGATAATGTCTTTTGGACATTAAACTTCCTTGCTATACAAGCAGGTTAATACATAGTTAACTTGTTATTTAGATTTTACTCATCGTTTAGATCATAGCTTCATACTGACTCAGAATGCTTGATAGGCTTAAGTTTATTTTTTGCTGCAGTAAATTTATAAGGACCTTTCACAGTATGCAAACAATCGGTTTTACAAGCCTTTACAACACAATCTACCCCCTTATTCAATAAGTTACAAATATCGAATTTCTGGACAAACCATTTGTGATCGCCCTCGTTTTTTACTTTGCAATTATGTGATACTGCGTTGGTGCTTGAGAGACCATTAAAATGGGATTTTTTTGGGGGATCAAATATACTCGTCAACGGAAGAAATAATGCATAATGTGTTAGATGTTAAACAGATCCTCCTGATCTGATATTCCCAATACCTTTCTTCTCTAGAAATAACTAAATATTAAGGTTAAAATGCAGTGTTTTGTTCTTAGAAAAAAATCATTAATACCATTAGTATTTAAATTCTAAAACTTATGTTTTACTATCGACTTCAGTATTTGTATCTAGTTTCAACACAGGATTTGAGATTTTTAAATAACATATTGAGGGTTTTTTTTTTGTGATTTTTGTGAATTTTCTTAAACTTCCATAAAGGGAATACCAAGTTCACCTAAACAAAATTAAACCAGGCCAATCCTCAAAAAGTATTTCAATCTCTATTTAATTATTACTATTGCGATTTCGTTGAGTACTCAGTTGAGGTTTTAACAATAAAATGACTTATTTCTATTCAGATGACCAAATAATAGTACCTGAAGATAGCCCAAAACCGCAATTTGAATATAAACTTTATATTTTGAGGAACGACCTACATTTGCCAGAATTCAACATTTTACATGTATTACGTTTGTGCGAATTAACATGCAATTTAAATAGAGATTTTACCCGGGTTTTAATCCTGAGAATAACCCCAACGTACAGATTATTTTTAAAAATTAAATATATTGATTAATATGTTATCAGGGAAGTATTTATTCGTTTAATATCACTACATGTGTGTAACTGCAAAGTCATGAATAATATACAGAATATATTTCCTGGAAAGGAAAATATTTTTCAACTCTATAGCAACACCGACAGTATATCCATCGAATATTAATATTCGTCTTACAGATGGGATCAACTCTATCACGAAGTCAATTTATACTTTGCACATGGATGAGCAGTTGGCGATTTGAGCTCAATCCTTCACATGTATGAATGCTGATAAAAAAGTTTAAATTAAGTTCAGTGTATCTTTTTTAAATTTTATCTTTTGTGTTTTATTTCATATATCAGAATATTTGATTTCTGAATATTTTTTTTATAGAAAATTGTGTTAAACCGCGCAAACGTAGTTACTTATCGGTAGGTAACTTTGGCTCAAACGTAATGCATTTTGTAGCGCAAACGCGGAATTTGATCGAGCAGCGTAATGCCCCTTCATATACAGGTATTTTTCTAACGAGTCCTTACGGATCGCACAAATTCACGGATCCTTATGATTTGGCCACTTTTACGACCGATTTAAGAGTTGTTACGAGCTAATTACGGTTTATTACGAGTAATTATGATAACTATGAGCAACTTACGGTCATTTTACGCGGAGCTTTTTACGGATTGGTACTAGTATATTACGAAATATTACTATTCATCGAAGCTTTAACGTGTTAATAACGACCTGTTAACGTGTTGTTACGAATAGATACGAGTTAGCTACTAGTATTTAATTTGCAGCTTTTATATCTTTCCACAAATCGTAGACAATACGTATAAATACGTAAAGTATACGCATCTATTCGTGACGTTCTCGTAACTAAACTTATGTGAAGTGCTAGACATAAAAACTCGTAAAAATGTAAAGCCATCGTAACACGACCAGAATGAAATCGTAAGCAACACGTAAGCACTCGTAAACTAACCGTAACAAATCGAAAAAAAAAAATTGCTTAGAGTCATTTCCGGATTCTTGCAAATAGTTAACCGTTGGGTTCGTGTTGTAGCGAGTGGTTTACGGAGTGGTTTACAATACTTATGGATTGTTACGAATAATTTACGGAAAAATAAAACCGTGGACAATCGTAAGAAGGTTTTTGACATGTCAAAAACTTTGTCTCTCCTTTCACGGATCCTTAACAGTGTCTGCGAGATGTGACGAGTAATTTGCGGATACCAGCGATTTATTAACAAATGCTTGCGATTGACTACGAGTTGGCGATCCGTAAGGACTCGTAAGAAAAATCCGTTTATGTGAAGGAAACATTACACACCGATTTGAAACATTACAATGTATAGTTATTCAATGTTTATACACTCTAATCAGTTAGGATCTGAAGCACTATGGTTATCTCATGATATTGGTCCCATATTTCATATGATCATTAAAGCATATGTTTGTTTAGTAAGCGATTCAGGCTCCTTTGAGGGGGCGTGATCATTTATAATTTGCCAAAATGAGTTAAGTTTTTATAATTCGGTATTACACATAACTGCATTAATATCAGTACTAAGCAACGATACCATAAAAAATAGAACTGGCAATTAGTGAAAAAAGTGAATAACGATTTTTCCACACAGCAATCAGTGCGAACCCCACTGCCCTTTTCCTTTTTCCTTAGACTTTGTAGGTTTCCTTTTTGTTGTTGTTGTTGGGGGGTGGGGGGTGGGGGGGGGGGGGGGGGGGGGAACATCATAAAATTATTTAAGGGATATGCACTAAACTATTTTCCAATGATTAAAGTTATCAATAATTACATTTGAAAAGAACTTGATGCTGTTGTTCCTTTCGAATTTTGCTGGAATGTCTTTAACAATGAACGGAAAATTTTACACCTTAAAGTAAGATCTTGATTAATATTTTTTGTTGTTATAGGTTATGGCGGCATCAAGTGGAACACTTTGTGACGTATGTGATTCTCAGCACTTAACGATAGACGCCATCTTCTGGTGCCTGGAATGTGACGAAGGTTTGTGTACAACATGCCTAAAGTATCACAATGCTTCCAAGTTGTCGAAAAATCACGAGGTCATCAGTGTCGACAACTACAAGCAGCTTCCGTCATTTATGACCAGCGTCCAACAATACTGTTCCGACCACGACAAAAAATACCAGCTTTACTGTTTACAACACGAAATTCCATGTTGCACGCATTGTGTTTCAGCAATACATAAAAAATGCGACTTAACGGCACTCGATGAAATTGTTAAAACTTCCAAAACATCCGCCTTATTTGACAATTTGGAACACAGTCTGAACGACTTAAAAGAAAATATAAAAAGGATAACAAAAGATAGAGTACAAAATTTATCAAAAGTTCATCAGAGCAGAGAGAAAATACAGTCTGAAATAAAGACGATGCGCGACAAAATAGATAAACATCTCGACCGTATCGAGCAAAAGATACTACAGGATTTGGGCGATGTGGAAAAGGGAGTTAACTCAGAGATACAGCACATTCATAATAAACTCCTAGAACATACTAAAACCGTAGAAGATCTAGAGGTACATATTTCTGCTATAAAGAAGTATGCATCTGACCTCCAGATTTTTGTTGGAATGAAGAAGGTTGAGACGGATATTGAACATGCAGAAAAGTTCGTGATGTCATTGTTGGAAGATGGTAGTCTACAACAGGTTGATATCGACTTTAAAATGGATCACAAACTGTTCGACATATTGTCCATTAAAGGGTATGGTAATATATCCCGTACTACGAGTTCCTCAGCAGTTGTCATGAAAACCGAGAAAAATAAACAAGCCCAGTACTTGGTCGCCCCTTCTAGAGCAACAAGAACAATTAATGATATTAACATTTCTTCACATAGGAAGGTTAAAATTACTAAAAATAATAAATACAGTTTATTCACAGGTTGTACTATCAGACCGACAGGTCAGATAGTTCTTGTTGATTGGAACTATGCTGATATCTTTATCTTTAACGAGAGCGAATCATTAGAATGTACAATAAAAGTATCACGAGGGCCTGTAGATGTGACTTGTATTGATGAGAAAACAATAGCAATTTCCCATGATAGGCATCCTTTACACAATTGAAATAATGAACTTATCTTCTAAACAAATACAGAAACAAATCAAAACTTCAAAGTCTTGTCGTGGTATAACAAATATACCAGGAAGGCTAATATATTGCACAAACATGACAGGTATTCAGTCAGTAGATTTTTCAGGTGATAATGCGTCCATTATAGTAAAGGAACCAGAGATGTTTGATTGTTATGTTACAGCGTCTGAATGTAAACTGTATTATACAAATTCTGCTACAAACACCGTCACATGTTACAACATCACAGGAGAGAAGGTTTGGGAATACAACGATACATCAGTTTTGAAGGATGTATATGGTGTTACTACTGACACGAACGACAATGTTTACGTTGCATCCTCTGGAAATAATAGTATCGTCGTTATTTCTCCTGATGGAAAACATGCAAGACGTCTTATAGGAGAAGAGGATGGCTTAGATCGACCGCTTGGTGTTTACCTAGACAAAACCAGGAACAATCTGCTTATATCGTGTTATGGAGACGTTCATATGTATAAGGTGTCATGAGAAAACGTACACTTTTCGATTTTTAAACATTAATAGTGTACTTTCATGTCTGCTTACTAGTTGCAAATTCTTTTCTAAGGGTCATATATATACCAAAGCCTATAACAAAAAAATTGAGAAATTTATTTTAGAATTAAAAATCATTTTATTCATGTATAACTTTATAAAAGCAGGATACACAAATTATTTTTGTCTGAAGACGTATCACTGCATGACAAGCAACGTTTTTGGTGAACACGCATTTCTTTCATTACATATGATACATATTTTTTATTACTAATAATGTGTCAATACTTCTGCTGGTTTACTATTACTGGGTCAATACTTCTGCCGGTAGATTGTATAAGTCCCCGATGGTAAATGCGACCAAACTACTCAATCAGATTGTGCTTGAATGAAATTCTGAATAGTTTACAAAAACTTTTGCAGTGACAAACCTTTGAAATTAGGGATAGTCTATTATATACGTACTTCTGATTCCGTGATTTGAAATAAGGTTGGCTGCACTTTTTAATCTCTTCGGTATTATCTGTAACTGTTCAGATTTTTCTCTCGATTATTTATAAAATGCGCATTGGTGAATCATATCATCATTCAATGAATGTTACTGATTAACATGCCTCTAATTTTGCCGATGAAGATACATGTATATGACGTTTAGACAAGTCTTGATATAAAACTGTTATCCGTGTTATTCACAAATGCAAGTGTCAATGATTCCACAGATTAAGTATAACGATACAAATAATTTAAATAAACTAAAAAAAAAATAAACAAATACATATTGTAATCCAACTTATTTTCGCGAGCAATTTATTTTCGTGACTTTCGCGAGAAGAAAAAGACCGCGAATTTAAATCGTCGCGAATATGTAAATCTTGGATCTTTTTTTATGTAAATACATCGAGTGATTTTGAAATCGGGAAATTAAATCATCGCGAACTGGGTTAGAAAGGGAGGAACTCGAAATTAAGTTTCCGCGAAAATAAGTTGCTTTACAGTATTTATTGATTACTTCCAATACTAGTTTATTATTTTAAGGTACATATTTCATATATCTACAAAGGCACAACGGCCAGTATGAGCTATTGCCATCATTAAATCTTGACATTATAATCATATTATCTGAAACCTCAGAAAACGGAATTTACTTGCCAGTGTTTTAAAACTATACCAGCTAGGTTAAAAGTGTAAACTGCAATAATCAGCATGACAAGTTGTATCCGTCCTGAAAATTGGAGAATAATCGAATAATCTAATTTAGTTGATTTTGAGTGATGGGCCTTGAAATAATGATTTTTTCCAATCTTTAGCAGTTATTGGCTGTTATTGTGAAAACTACGGGAGCTAGGTTAAAGATGTACATTGCAAAAATGATCATCACAACAAGATTTGTTACCTAAAATTTTTAGAAAAAAATGTAATTCTCTTTTTTAATTATTGCCACTGAAATTATACATTTTACGCAGTTTATTACTGATAGCAAGTAGGTTAAAAGTGTTAACTGTAAAACTGATCAGCATGACAAGGTCTATCTACTCTTAACATTTTACAATCCTTCTTTGGAGTTATTGCCCCTAAAATGTTTACTTTTACTGGGTTTTTTTTTGGCAGTTTTGGTTGTTTTCTAAAAAAGAATATAGAAGCTATGTTAAACATGTAGAAGTACAAGTCCTAATTATCAAATTTGCAATTTTTTACCTGGAGAGCGATATAGGCACAGGTGTACCTCTTGTTTAAATTGCTAATCCAAAGAAAATACAACAACAAAGTATGTCAAAATTCTTAGGAATGATGATTCAGAGACTCTCTATAAAGTATTCCGTACTGATTGGTGGACAACACAGCGGCAACGATGTCATTAATTTTCCCTCGAACCTATGTGAAATCGTATCTCATTTTCTCTCTCTCTCTCTGAAACAATGAAGGCAAACGAACCAAATGTTAGTCCATACTTTTAGCTTAACAAACTTAGTTACGATAAATTTTTATAGTGATTAAGATAATATCACAATATTGACTGCTGTACTCCAATTTTTGACATTTTGACCTGTTATGTCTGTTTGTTTTGTTCACACATTGTTGTCAATATAATGGAACATTATGCGACTGTCATACAAGTGAAAGATTTAGCTAGCTATAAAACCAGGTTTAATCTACCATTTTCTACATAAGGAAATGTCTGTACCAAATCAAGAATGTGACAGTTGTTTTCAATTCGTTTGATGTGTTTGAGCTTTTGATTTTACCATTTAATAAGGGACTTTCCGTTTTGAATTTTTCTTGGAGTTCGGTATTTTTGTTATTCTACTTTTTTCAAGAAACTTTTGTTATGCGCACGGTATCTTTAGTAACTTTAGTTATTTCAAGATTTAGTATCTTTTGTTATTTCTTCTTAGTATTGAATAATTAATTTGAAAGGACTTTTGTAAAATGTTTCATTTGGACATGATATCGGTATGTAAAAACGTGACCAACAGAGGCAAGTTGTTCAATTTGTAAATGCCATCATCGAAAAAAGTACAAAACAAAAGTTTTTCAAACATTTTTCCGGATGAAGATTGACAGACTTTGTTAGCTGATATTACGCATTTCGTATAATGGTCGGTTTGCAAATGCATCGGTAATGATATCATATCATATCACCTTTCATAATTGCCTAAGGATATGCGCTGTCAAAATAGACCAAACTAACCAGAATAATCGCTGTGTTGAATACTCATTGGTGGCCTTGGGCTATTTTCTGCTCTTTGGTCTAGTTGTTGTCTCTTTGACACATTCCCTGTTTCCATTCTCAATTTTACAGAAGTCCCAATACTAGGTGGGGTTAAACTAGATTTTTCAAATCATGATCTTACTTATTTTTATCTTGTTTAATGGAATACCAAAGAGAACATAAAACTACGAACAGTAATGATCCGTACAGGAAATCAGTCAATTTAATAATAACGGTATGATACATAACACAAACACAAGTTCAAGCAAAAAAAAAAAAACACAATGCCATATTAAAGAATGGTTGCGGGTAATATTAAATGCAATTTTAATGTAACATGCTGTTATGAGATCAAGTCCTCCTAACTTAATATTATTGTATGTTTTTCAGATCATATTTCATACGGCAACAGCATAGGAAGACACAGTGGAGTGCAATGCTCGGAATAAATTCCATGAGCATTTCAGTGCAGAAAGATTAAAATAATAAACATTTCAGTCCTTCTCCCAAGTATAAAATTAACAAACCGATGTTCAAAAGACACAGTGAGTAAAGAAGAACAATATAAGCGGGAAGCAGTGAATGAACTTGTGTATTTATTATAACTAAGTTTTTCGGTTTCAACTGTAGTAATTTGCATGTCGGTAAAAAGGATGATATGATACCAAGGGAAAAATCAAAGAAAAACAGACAACACAGTGAATATAAATTAGAACAAAAGACAAGCAACATTACACAAAACAATACATGAAAAAATTAAGCAACACGGACCCATACACACTCTGAAGAGTAACAAGTTCCGGTTCCACTAGTGGCGTCTACTAGTGATTCATGGCAATTAAAAATTTGATGATAAGTCTCATTCGATGATGTATTCATTGAGCAAGTGTCTTGCGCTTTAAAAGTGAATCTTCAGATTATTCAAACTAAAATAAATCCTATCTTCCTTTTTTTCTCCTTACGATATCAAGAAAAAGTTAACGACAAAACGCTCCATGCGATAAAATAGACAGCCACTTTAGCTAAGCAAACAAGTTGTATTTTTGCTAACATATCCTTGAATAGTGTATAAAAACTCGAACGTCTTCGGATAGTGTCAAATAATTTGGTATTGAATGAATATAGATATTTTTAGCTTGTTTTTAATGACTGCAATTTTTCCCTGTTATTGTTTTACTATTTTTATGAGTTGCTTTTCTGTAATAACGAATAAGGATTTTTTCTCCGTACATTAAAAATGTAGCCTTTGTTTTTCCACTAACCGAGATGAAAAAAAAAGCAGAGTTTAGGTTCACATTCACAGTTATTGTTATGTGATTCAAAGCCGAGACGCTTGTGTCAGATGCTTGTTCTCATCTGTTTTATTACATGCTTTCTATGCTCCCGCATATGTAAAGTTTCCTTACGTTGAGGGGGCTTATATACTTTTAAAAACAGAATGGTCAAATCTGTAGTTGTCTAATCTATATTATCTGAAGTATCACGTGATAACAGAGTTACAAAAGTTGACCAATTAGCAAAAAAATGTAATTATTATTCCCAAAATGACAATTGACACTTTCTTTATCTTATTTTCTTTAATTGCGCAAGTGTTTCCTATTAATGAACTTCCGGATTAATGAATAGTAGACCATATAAATTCTTTCTAATTGTGTGGGAATAGTTGAACATTTGAAAATTATAACTAAAGATTATATATTTTCTAATTTTTGAATTTTTTTTAGATCACTCTTATACAAATCAAAGGAGATATTTTGTATACATCATAAAGACGACAACAACCCCATAAAGAAAGCAGAAAATACACAGGAGATCAGAATACAGTCTATAACAATATGCTAGTTCATAAACATATGCTATAAAAATACTGTGCAGTTTGCGGTGGAGAGAGAGAGAGAGAAAAAGAAACGATATGACGGGCAGAGTAGGCCCAGTGAATTAAGTATCGGCCATATTCAAGACGATGCCATGTAAATGGATATGAACATAGAGCTTACTTTATGCTAGGTACACACGCTGTGAAAATGTTTTAAAACTGTTACAAAGCGGGTTGTTGTCGTCTTTATGACGTATACAAAATATCTCCTTTGATTTGCATAATTTGCGTAGATGTGACAATTGACATTCTTTTAATTTTCTCACAACACCACCCTATCTATATAATTTCTTGACAACTTGAAAAAAAATCATTTGTGATCTTTAAAGTTGAACATACTGCAACGAGAGAGAAAACTTTGTGGGGGATAATGTATTCGAACTAAATAAAAGTCACAAAACGAAAAAAATATAAAAAAGTAACAAAATGAACTGACAACTTAATACGATGACAAGTATTGATAATTGATTCATTTACAATGGAAAGTTAAAAATTGGTAGGACAAGTTTCCCCTGTATTTGTTTCTCTCGCAAGGGCAAATCTAAAAGAAAAATCGTACT